GCATTCCCAGGACTATACAAATGGCAACGAGCAGCAGCTGGAGCTGGGATACCAACACAAGTGTGCTGATGGCCAGGCGAGTCTTCGTTGTTTCATTTGAACACACTCTTGCTGGTTTCCTGACCCCACCATCAACCTTGTTGATTCTGCTGTTTAGCTTGGTTGCAAACGTTCAACTCGGGAAGTGTGTTAGTAGCCAAGACTCAGACACAGAGTTTGAGGGTTCTGGATTACCCACTTACTTTGTGGCCCACTAAGTTCCTTTCTAAGAGGTGTAGTTTACCATCCAGACATATGGTTAGTTTTTCACTTACATTTTTAAAACTAAAGCAACATTAATGCTATTGATTCTTAAAAAAAAAAAAAAAAAAAAAGGACAAAGGGGCAGGTGATAACTTACTTAATTTATCATTATTGGGGGGGGGGGACCATTGCATTTAGATATCCGGTTGCAGAATGATCCCCTAAGACTATAGCCACAGAAACAAGGTGGCAGTCAAGGACAGGCTCCAGTGCCAGAGTTCCCACTTTACTAGAGACTATGCAAGCCAGGGCAAGCCTCTGTATGCCCTTAGGTTCCACAACTACAGAGTCAGGATAATGAGATAACCACCTTCTGGGGATGCTGTGTGGAACTCACGTAATGCGCCAGCACAATAACAAGTATATACACAATAAGTCTGCAATAAATGGGAGCCACTTTGGGAGGTATGACTATCTACGAGTAACTTCCTTTTTCTTCCAAATGAACAAAATCCCCATAAAACAAAGAAACAAGCACACGTTAGCAATATACTGGCTAACAAAAGACTGCAGTTTCCAGACGTACGTCCTTGAAGCTCCCAGGGACCATTCTGAATTCTAGCCAAGGAGATACACATGGAAACGTAATGTAGGATGTTCATCAGGTCTTCCTGATAGATGGGGGCCTGCTCTTCCCTTTCTCCGTTCTGTTTCCAGGAACGCAGAGGCTGGAGTTCCCGTAACTATCTGCAGCTCCAAGACGGAGGCGGCAATTGGGTTTCTCTGAACAACAGATTAGATGCAGCCTGGTTCCCGAAGGGTTTTCTGGATATCAGCCCTGTGCCGCCAATCTTTAAACTCTTAGGAGAAAGCATAAACTTCTAATGTGTTCCTGCTATTATTTCTGGCATCTCTGTTACTCAAGGCTGAACTAAGGGCTTTGGCTTGTCCCTCATGGCAGTCTAAACATCCACCTAGAGGCTCGAACTGATTTCGGGCCCATGTTTTTACAGATAAAGGCAAGATGGGTCAAACACAGAAAAGGAGCCAGCCAGCACATCTTCAAGACCTCTCTCCCCCTATGATGGCTCATCTTGACTGGCAACTTGACTGGACCCACGCATGCCTAGAAGACTGTCAAGGAAACCCTTTGGCTGTGCCGATGGGGGCGTGTCCAGAGATAATTAACTGGGCAGGTGGGAATGCTTAACCCGACCGTGGGTGGCGATCACGTGATGGAACGGACTATGGGACGGAAGCTTACCAGCGCAGGCAGGAGCTCCCTTCTCTGCATCCTAGCGACCAGGACGTGAGCCAGCTCCGCTCTACTATGTTCGTTCTGTCTTACCACAGGCTCACAGCAGTGGAGCCAAGCAACCACAGACCCAAGTGAAACCATGAACCAGCGTCATCTTTCCACCCTTTAAATCGTTTCTCTCAGGTGTCTGTCAGCACAGAGACAAAACGCCAAGGACGCATCCTCTTTCCGAAGTCAGTCTTGTGCCACGACCCCCTCCCTCTCTCCTGGGCAGAAGGCCAGGGCTTCCTGCTCTGTGCACCACGTATCTTGTGCTCTGTATTATCCACTGATGAGAGCGTTCTATCGTGTGTTCCGACATCACCGTACAACCTGGACTCATCGGTTCAGTTCCGGCTAATGGATGAGTGACTGTAAGGCATCTTTTTCTACTGTTTTCCTGAGCAGTTCCATGTTTTGAACCAAAGCCTTCTGGAATGTTTGAATGACCAGCAAGTGCTGAGGGAGCAACAGGTTGGGGTCGGGAAGCATGTGCCTGAGACCGTCACCTGCTGAGGTTGACTCACCAATAAGTTAATACAGTTCCCAAGTGTTCACCCCCTACTCCCAGAGAGTCTCAAGGATGTGTGAGCAAAGGAGAACCGAGTATTTGTCTGATAAGGAAATTAAATAGCAACCAAGTTCCCTGGGGCTATGTACTTTATATCCCTACTTTAGTAATGGTGAGGATGTCATCAGCTGCTCAAAATTCTACACCAGATACCCGGAGGTTATTTGCTCCTGAGTAAATACTAGTCAGTGGTTAAAGTAAACCATTTTCCTTAAACCCCTAGTCCACTGGTCAGCTATCCTACACTTTTATTCTTTCTTCACGGAAACTGAATATGTAAAATGCATAGATTTCATTTGGACAAGTCAGAATTTGTGTGTTTAGTAATAAAGTATAGGAAGAGGCCAAGCATCATCTCCTTTGAAGGTAAGTGGTGTGTGTGTGTGTGAGACTATGTCTGTGTGTGTGAGTAGGTACTGTGTGTGTGTCTCTGTGTGAGTATGTGTCTGTGTGTGTGTCTGTGTATATATGAGTGTCTCTGTATTTATTAGTGTGTGTCTGTGTGTATGAGTGTGTGTGTGTGAGTTTGTCTGTACGTGTGTCTGTGTGTGTGAGACTGTGTGTTTGAGTAGGTACTGTGTGTTTCTGTGTGAGTATGTATCTGTGTGTGTGTCTGTGTGTATGAGTGTGTGTGTGTGAGTTTGTCTTACGTGTGTATGTGTGTGTGTGTGTGTGTGTGTGTGTGTGTGTGTGTGTGTGTGTGTGACTGTGTGGTGCGGTGTGCATATGTGAGGGAAGTGTGGGAGGGTGGGGAGGTTCACTGAAGGTGATCTCTGGTCTCCACTGAGCATGCTCTTTGAAGTGAATTTTCTTTCCAGGAGCTCAGAACGATCTATAGATGGTACCTCATTGCCTTTCCCCCTTCTCTTCATCCCCCACTGACTCTGAGGGGCTACATGACTGACAAGGTCATCCAGTCTCTAGTAACCTTTTCTAGGACCTTCAGACTTCAGATTGATGCTGATTAGAGTCCTGAGGATGTGTGTCAGCTGCCTTGACCCAACTCCCAGGGCCTGCCAAATATCCAAGCCCAGTGGACAGAAGGAATTGGAGAAACTGGAGAAATTAGACTATATCCACACTCCATTTCCCATGCTGTCCAACAGACTGCTCTTGGATCTGTCTGGTGATGGGGTTTAACCTGACTCCTGCATCTCTAACCCTGTCCGTGGTGTTGGGACAACCAGTGGACTCGTTTGGTGAAGTATGAACGGTGGGTTTGTATTTCTAGGCATGAGAAGCTCATAGAAAGTACAAAGACGCCGGGCGGTGGTGGCGCACGCCTTTAATCCCAGCACTCGGGAGGCAGAGCCAGGTGGATCTCTGTGAGTTCGAGGCCAGCCTGGGCTACCAAGTGAGTCCCAGGAAAGGCGCAAAGCTACACAGAGAAACCCTGTCTCGAAAAACCAAAAAAAAAAAAAAAAAAAAAAAAAAAGAAAGTACAAAGACTTCCCCTTAAAATAGTCAAAGGCAGCAGACACCCCGTTTGCTCTCTTCCTCAGAGGCACAAGCTCATTTAACTTTTAAATTAAAAAGTTTCTAGAAACGGCTGAAATCTCCCATCATCAGAACTTGACAGATCACATAAAGCACAGGCAGGTAAGTGGCCTTTACCACCTAAAACTCAATTTCATCAGGGATGTGGTGTACAGTTAGGCCTTCTCACATGAAAGCTTTGCAGGTTGCACATAAATAAGTTTCTGAAGGAGAAATTAGCATATAGAAATCATCCTATTCAACCCCCCCCCCCATACAAAAATCTCAGAAAGGAGTCTGAGGAGATGGCTCAGTAATTAAGAATGATGGCTGCTATTCCAGAGGACCCGAGTTCGGGTGTCAGCACCACACTGCAGCTCACAACTGCCTGTAACTTCAGTTCTACGGAACCTGCCTGTAACTTCAGTTCTATGGAACCTGCCTGTAACTTCAGTTCTACGGAACCTGACCCCTTTTCCAGACTTGCCCGGCATGGGTACAGGTATGTGCATAAGGTTTGTTCAGATGGACACATGTACACATAAAAAATAAATCTTAAGATAAACCAACCTTAGTGCATTTATAAAAATGTTATTTATTTTTTAAAGTTTAATTAGTTAACAAACTCCTTTACTCAGCAAGTATTAATGGGGCGTTAGAAATGTAATTTACCAAATTACGTTTTACACCCTCGTCTTTTTAGGAACAAATAAAATTTAAAGTTAAGAAAAATATTAGTAGTTTAAAAAACAGAGTGGCTCTAAATTATTTAATTTATGATGATATACAGGACCCTAAGTGAAATGTAAGTCAAATAAGACAAATTATTATAAGGAAGGACATAAAGATATCACCATGCCCTCCCCCCGACAAATAATCTTAGTGCAGTGCCGTTACCAAATAGTCAAATGAACTGAAATGGAGGAAGGGGCATGGAAGAGAAAAGAAAAGGGAATGAATGGCTTAGGATCCAGCTCAGTAACAGAGCACTTGCCTAGCCAAGGTCGAGGGTCGGACCCAAGCCTGTAAGATACAAATAAATAGAAAGGCAGAAACAAAACTACCTACAACCAAGCAACTCCTAACTGCTCACATCTAAGAACAGCAATCTTAGACAAAATATTAAAAAATGGACCGCAGGTCTCATAGAATCCAGCCAGTTAGAACACGTCTAATTGAGGCCTCTATACTCTGTTTCCTTAAAGTCTTTAACTGCGTGTGTGCATGCTAGTGCACACACACTCATGAGGTCGCTAAGTGTGGAGGGACTGGCAGAGGAATGCGCCCAACACGTCGCTACCTCATCCCAGATTTTCACAAGAAGCCCATCCGTCAACACTGCATCTCGGAGGAAGGTCTAAACTGAGCAGCTCCCCAAGAAGCCCACAAACAAAGACAACACACTTAACTTACCGTGTAAAGCTCATTAAGAACCTTCATTAAGTCCTCGTGCAGTTGGAATGCAATCTCTTTGCTCTACAAAGAAGAAGAAAACGAGAGAAAAAACATTACAACGTATGAGCAATGTTGTTTCAAGTTTTACGTATTTTAAAGACCACTCACAGAGGGTACAAGGATGTCTAAAACATGATAGAAAGCCAATGTGTCCTCACTACCACAAAACACCTTCTTCGGTCAAGAGCCCTTTCTCATACCGAGGAGCTTGGCTCCTGGTCTCTATAGGATATGCAGGAACAAATAAACGGGCCGCCCACAGGGCTTCCCCACCAGCACGTCAGACCTTGTGGGAGGGTGGGTGATGTGTGCGCAGGGTGAAGTGTCATGCTCGCTTAGACGGTGAGCTGCAGGCCAGGCATGGTGGGGCCTATGATAATACTGCCATTAGGCAGGGTGATGGAGGAGGACAGTGAGTTTCAGGCCAGCCTGAGCCACTGTCTCAATCCAAACAGCAGAGGCCAGCGGGAAGGCATTTACAGTACAATCCTAAGATCCTGCGTTTGCCCATCTAAAGGTGGAAAGAGAAAACTGACTTTACAAACTTGTCTTCTGATCATACACGCGACATGGCACATGTGCACCCCCACATATATCCTACACACACTAACAACAGGAAAATAAATGGGAAAAAAAAGCTAAAAGGGGTAAATTTGAGTAACCAGTTTTCCTCTTCCACATAATCACCATGGATTGATTATATTGTGGTGATTCCCCACACAGAAAAGTTAGAGGGAATGAACTCTTCTGGTTCACTACATCTTTAAGAAAACACTTCTGAAACTGTCAGGGGGCGAGTTCACTTAAGGTGCACACATTTCTACGGCTGCTTTATTTTTTTATGAAGACCAAACACCAGCGTTGACTCTTCTCTCTGCTTATCCTGAGTTTGATGGAGAGAGAATGGAACACTGTTTTCACCAAGCTGTAGGTTATTTTAAAGTTCTTTTATTCATGCATGCTTATCTCTGTTTTGAGTTCATCCTGTCGGCATCTATAGAAAATGGAAAGAGTGTGTACAGTGTGCTCCGTCAACGGTGTGTGACAGTAACAGGAGCCACCCCTGGCTCTCACACTGGCCTGTACAGTTTCCCATGCTGCCGATGAGAATGGATGCCTAGGACATGGGATTTAAGATGGCTCTTCATCTCGCCCAGCCTGGCCGTCTTGGCTAGGTGCACAGGAAGCTTGGATTCAAGCCTTTGAGGACCACAAGAGCAAGCTGAACTACCTTGTGTGAGGGGATCGAGGCGGTTGCTATAGCTACGGAGACCATCTGCAGACCACTGTGGAGAGGGGATGGCCGTGGCCAGTCTTAAGAATCTGGGTCTCAGACCGAATTGGGTCTGTTTCGGTGAGGTTATTGGTTGGGGCCTCAACAACAACCAAAGGCCAGACTGATGAAGATCACGGGAGATAAAACATCCTGGGAAGAAAACACCAGAGTTGCACTTGAGTACCGAGAAATTCAAACTCATTAGCAGCGTGTGTCACTGGGTGTCTTTGCGGGTACTGGACAGTGTTCTGTTGTATATACCAGGCTCTGATAGTGTCTGAATCTCTAAACTGGATTTAGGATTTTTAAATAAAGCTCTGTGTCTGATCTATAAATATGTGGAGACTAAGAATCACTCCGGAGTAAAAGGGAACCTGCATGTGGGCTACTATAGTCAACTGGAAATCTGTTCCCCCTAGTTGGGGCTCTGAATGTATGCATTACACTAGACTCTCCTGTGACTTTAGCTTGGTGTTATTTTAATATCAGGTTTCATTCAAAGAACTGGCCCATCGATTTAAACTCTCTAATGGGATCAAAGGCCACCAAGGAGTCCTGCTCAGTTACCCACGTTTCAGGTAGCAAGTCCAAAAAGAAAATATTTCTTGGCTAAGATTTCCAAACCATAACAGAAAAAAAAAATCCCATCGGTTCAATTAATCTCACACCAACATATTTAAGGTCAGAGTAAAGGCTTAGCCTGAGGCTCTAAGGGTCGTCCACGTAACCCTTGGCTAAACATCTGAGAACAAGCAGGATGGTTCTCGGTACGTTGGACATTTTTACAGGACTTCAGGTGATGAGGTAAAAGGAATCTGGCATACACTTGCATTTTAATTTCATTTTTTCATGAGATTCTCCACCCTCGTGTGTGTGTGTGTGTGTGTGTGTGTGTGTGTGTGTGTGAGTGTGTGTGTGTGTGTGTGTGTGTGTGTGTGTGTGTGTGTGTGTGTGTGTGTGTATGTTTCTAGGAAGGGTTCTAGAGTCAGAAGACCTAATTTGACTTCTCGGAGACTTTGGCTTTCTGTCTCAGTCTGTAGTCTACAAGATGAATGGCAGCTCTTTGATTTCAAGTCCATTGACCTCAGTGTAAGAGGTGCTTTTTAGAAACTGCTTGGTTTGATTCTGATGCCACTCCCCATTGCCCAAGGATTTTAGTTTCCCCAGATGGCTCTTGACTTTGACAGGACCCTACGTACTGTGATCCAGCGTGGGTTTTCCTTACCTCTTCATCATGGGCATGGACTCAACTGAGCTTCCTATGTGCTGTACCCTTGAGGGGTCCTACTGCTAGTGATACCGAATGAATTCATAGAGCATATATTAGAAAATGGGTAACTCCTGAAGCCAATATGACATGATCTATACATACCATGAACAAGGCCTTTAGGGACCAGTCTCTAGTGGTAATTTTAGTGATTGTGGAAAGCTGATACAGCATTGCTTTCAGTAGAGAGATTCTTAGCTATCTCCCAGGACACAGTATCACAGTTTCTATTTTTTCACTGAGTTGTGATCCAAACCTGTCCTGACCTAGTAGATAAACACACAGTTCATCATTTTCTTCCTATCATCTTTTTTTTTTTTGAGACAAAGTCTTATTATGTAGTCAGTGCTGGCCTTGAACTCATGATCATGCTCCTTCAGACTCATGAGTCACCACAATGGGGTTCACCACCACTCCTGTCATCTGGAGAGATTGACAAGGAGCTGCCTGCCTTGAACAACACTAGTTAATGTTGACTAATGTGAGAAATATGAATTCAAACGTCTTTGTGTTTAGAGGTCCATGGCCCAGAACAACATCAACATGGTTCCTGTTCCCACGGCATGGGACCCTTTCAAGGGTCACTTCATCACCCTCCCTCATTCTAGTCCAAACATCTTCCATTTATTACTGTCACAACGAGAAGTAATGATTTCCTTTAAATACTCCTCCAGATACAGTCCCCCCAAAAATCACTTCTTCAATCAGAACAGTAGTTGGAGCACAATTAGTATCTAAGAACCTTAGACTGATAAACTGAAATCCTTCTTAGTACTTAGCATATAAAATAATGAGCTTTTAGAAAATTCCTGGATGTGGTGTGCATGCACCTGGGTTCTATTTCACTAAGAACTGAAAATGGAACAGACCCTTGATAGCTGAGCAAGAACTGCTGTGTGGAAAAAAATAAAACCCATCTTAAGGAGAGTAACAACTGTTCCTTCTGCATAAGAAAAATACTAACAAATTATACCTGTTAGGGATAAAATGTTTTCTCTGCTGTTTGAGATGAGGGTAGTCAGCGTTACTTCTCCATAGAGAAGGAGGAGAGCCTCATGATTGCTCACTGGAACCAGTTAGAAAAGACCATTTCCCCCCATACTATGCCTACAGGCGTTGAAATGAAGCTCAGTTTTCTGAGTGTGCTTTGACAGGGTTCTGGGATTCTGATCCAAGGGGAGAGAAAGTGGTCAGATAATTCAGTTAACACTTGTTAAATGCCTCATGTACATTTACATACACCCAGGGGTAAATTCTAAACTCCTTTCTAATTATGTAGTAATTGCCATTTTGGTATTTTGGATGCATCAAGCGTAAGTTCACACTGAACATTTCCAAGGTTTTCTTCTATTTTCATGAGTGAAGGGTGTTGAAGGACACTGGGAAAAGTGGGGCAAAGTGACCACGACTGTGACATGGTATCTTCCCTTCAAGTGTGCTTATCTAACATGGCTCTGAGCTATAATTACCTTATCATAATCAAGAATATTGTTCCTTTTTTTTAGTTACCATAATTTTTTCATGTATTTATATCATGTTCAGAGTCATAATTTGATTTCCCACAACCACCCAGGAGTGTGCCCCATCCACCTGACATTATGACTTCTAATGTTTCCATCATTTCCCACCAATCATGCCATAAATGGTTTAGTTTATTGGCTTATTCCTTTGATTTCACCTTAAGACAAGGTTTCCCAATTTAGCTCAGGCTGTCTTTAAACCTGTTCTGTGGCCGAGGCTGGCTGTAGATTCACACTTTTGCCTCAGCCCCATCAAACTTTCTTCCCTTTTTCATGCCTTATTTTTTTTTAAATTTCAGACACTTATCAGTACTGACATATAAGTTTCCCATATATGTAATCACTCTATTTATAGATAGAAAACAAGAAACACATGAATGTTGTATAAATTATAAGATAATTTAAAATTTCAACCAAGTAGTTTAAAAAAGGACAAAAGACAGGAATTATGCTGTTTTTAATATAAAGCAAGGATAAAAGATTTCAACAAAGCTAGTGTTCTAAAGAGGTTTTTCTCAATTTGTAATTTTTCTGCTCTCTATCCTCCTAAAAACAAAGAGTATTCATCATAGATTAGAAATCTGAAATTCTTAAACATTAATTGATGTTATATGATTTCCTTTATAGGCACGATCTATTATGTGAAAGCCACTGAAAAAGTAATTCTATAGCTAAACCAAAGGGCCAAAGCTCAGCTGGGCGGGGAAGGGTGTCAGTCATGCGATTGCGTGGTGTGTAGGCTGGCTGTATGAGCTCAGGACAATACATACAGAAGGTCATAGCAAGAGATGAAGCAGTGTTTTCAAGGTCATTTGGGTGGGATCTTGGTACATATCCCACTCAGGCATCTGTTCCAAGATAGTTCTTGGTATTTGTTCCTTTGCCAAAATGGCACAACCTTCTGGGTTGGCACAAAGCCTTCTTGTTAAGTTCTATACAATGAAGATGTAGGATGTAT